GTGTGTGTGTGTGTTTCTGTGTGTGTCTCTCTCTCTTGACTCTGATATCCTGTCCAAGACTTGGAGCGTTGTTGCTATCCTTGAGAAATTCCCTAGCTTCTTCAAGCACTCACTGATGATCTGTCCTGGGCCTGCAGTTTTCTTTCGACCCTTGTTGGTTTCCTTGACCCTTCCCTTCTCGCATTGCCTACGACATCATCGTGTTGGACGAAATTACCCGCCATGCAACTCGTATTCACATTTCCGCATATGTTTCCAGTCTCTATTTCTGCCCCGCCGCCCCTCGACTACCGTCTACATTTGACTACATTCCTGAAGTTGTCTGGGCAAATGCTGCTGCAAAGTCCGTGGTTGGCGTCCCTTGCCCTTCATCAAGCGAAGCAAGATCAAAAGCCTTGTTTAAAGCTTCTGGATGCAACAACGCTTGGACGCACACTTCCGCCACATCAGCTCTGGGGATCGATCTCGTTGTCGTTTCCAGCAGCTTGTCATCCTTGGAGAAAAGCAATTGCCTCTTCCCTCCGTCTTTGTCCAGCAGTCCTCCGGCTCGGATGATCGTGTAGGGTACTCCAGAGTCAACAAGGTATTGTTCGGCCTGGCGTTTGAAAATCAAAATGTTGCCGTTCGCCAGCTTGTTGAGAGGGTGGTCTTTGTTCGTGCCACCCATGGATCCAACAAGCACAATGTGTTTCACACCTGCCGCTTTCGCTGCGTCAATCTGGTTCTTCTGACCGATCCAGTCGACCTGTTCTGGATAAAATCCGTCGTGAAAGAACATTTCGGGCCGGCCTCCTTTCGAAGGATCGAACCCTGGCTTCATCTTCGGCACTGCGGATGTAACGATCACGAGAGCATCCAGCCCACCTTCTAAACAACGCTGGAAAGTAGAAAGGTCGCGGACATCCGCAACTGCCACATCGTGTCCAGAGTCCGGTGCAGCAGCACCGAGCACCTCCTTGCTCTCCTCCCTTCTCACAATTCCTGAAGCACTGAATTCGCCCGACCGCTCCTTGAGCTTCTGATAAACCAACCGACCGGTCCTGCCGCCAGCGCCAGTCACAACGACCCTCAGACAACGAGGGGTTACCCCGCCAGTCACCGGAGCTGCCGCGCTATCGTCCGCCATGGCCAAAGAAGACAGCGCTACCAGCCGATTTGGGAGCACCGTAGCACTCCCGCTACTTGTCGCACTGTGCGACACAACGCTAATCCCAGACCTAAGCGCGCACCCAAAGCTGAGATGACGCAAGCTTGAGATCGCGCTCCCCTGTCCAAGTTTCTCACTTGACCCGGACGCTGTCACGCAACCATAACCGTCACGATTGTTACGCTTCCTCAGTCCGGCCACAACCTCTCCGCATGGCTTCCCCTCTTTGCGTGGCGAGGACAGGAGATAGTTTGTGGCAGCACCAACTGTTCAGCACAAGAGAACGGAGCAAGCATGTCAGCGGATTTAGAAACGGCTGTGTGTCGTTGTGCAGAAAGGACAGCAGAGAGTTCCAAGTTCATGGTACAGGAAGTATGACAGCTGAGAAAGAAACGAAAAGTATGACAGCTGAGAAAGAAAAGAAAAGTATGACAGCTGAGAAAGAGACAAGAAAAGTTAAGACATCTGAGAAAGAAAAGAAAATAAAAGTATGACAGCTGCCTATCTCAGTTGGTACACCGCACAAACTGCTGAATTACAGACCCGAGTTCGAATCGAGACACAAAACTTCATAATTCTGAATTAGCTGGGGCCGGTCAGTTCAGCGGTGATATCTCAAGGTCGTCGCCCTTCTAAAAATAAAAAGCAAGTATGACAGCTGAGAAAGAAAAGAAAAGTATGACAGCTGAGAAAGAAAGAAGTCGGACCGCCGAGAAAGAAAAGAAATGGCTTTCTGTCTTTGCACAAAATGGACAGGAGATAGCTTACCGCAGCAATCAACAGCCCAAAGCAAGAGAGAGCTTAGTGAGGGTACGTAGAGGACGCAGGAGAAAGAAAGGAAATGGCTTTTGTGTCTTTGCACAAAAAGAACACGGAGATAGCTAAGGGGGGTAGCAATCAACAGCCCAAAAAGCACTAAATAGACACCTTTGTTAGGGAAGGTAGACGGCACTGGAGACAGCTTGCCGGAGCATCAACTGTTCATCACAAGAGATTGCAAAATTTCGGATTTCGATTAAAAAAAAAAATGGCTACTGTCTTCACCCAAATAGACCGCCCTATAATTATCTCTGTATCTAGACCGAAAGCGGCCCCAAATACAGCTATGATGACCAGGCGTTGTATTCGGGTGACAACAGCAGTGCTTTGCGCAACGAGGACTAAGAACAGTAGTTTGCTGCAGTACTAACAGTTTAGCACAAGAGAGTGCAGGCATCCCAAGCTGAGAAAAGTTTTCTTTTTTTTTTTTTTTTAGGAATTTTAAAAGAAATCATGAGCTACTACCCAGCCACAACAGAAGGAACACTCTCATCAAATGGCTTTCTACGACTGCATCCATTGTGTCCACAGCACTGGCGAAAGACACGAGAGAATGAATTTGCATTAACTCAAAGCACATGCACAAAACTGAGTGGAAGACCTCATCAACTGCGAGACGTGCGGTCCTTCGGGACATCTGTTAAAATTGGAACGATACAGAGAAAGAGAAGATTAGCATGGCCCCTGTTTGCATGGATGACTCAAATAAATCGAGAAATAGTCCAAATTAATATAAAAAAAAACAACAACTGTGAGACGTGAGGATGGGGGATACACACAGACCGACCGCAGTGGAAACATATTTGTTGCGAAGAATATAGGCCATTGATTGAAAATGCACCTGCTTCTAGCGTACGGCCAGGTGCATGGCCTGTACCTGCCTCTCTGTTTGGAACTTTGGATTGATTACTTCACAGTGGCCCATTTCTATCATCGAGTGCAAGTTTGTGGCTGAATAGGTGACACGCTTTTCCAAATGGGTGAGCATACACAGCAAAAAAAAAAATCAGCAAGTGTGTTCTGGTGTGAATCTGGACAATAATGGGCAGAAGATGGCCCCTGCCACGCGGATCAACACAGAAACGAAAAATCAAGTGTTCTGGTGCGAATGCGGTCCATAATGTGCAGAAGATGCAAGTGTGTTCTCGTGTGAATCTGGTCAGCAATATGCAGCAAATGCCCCTCCCTCGCGGATGGGCATGAATCAGCGTGCGTGCATGAGTCAAGGGACGTAGCTCGAACCTGTGCGCTGTACTTTCAGGCTTTGAGCCTGTCCTGTATTATAAGTTGAACCGGCAGGCAATCTACATATAGTGCAATACACAGACAACATGAGCTTCCTGAATCCAGGAGTTGGAGAAAGAAGCGAATACTTTAAAGTTTAAAAAAAGAAAAAAGAAAAAAAAAAGTGACTAAGGGCATAGTCACACTGGCACGCATTTTCATAAAATCGGAAATTGTAGGTGGTGATATTTTGGGTCACAAGGGCTACGTATTTTGCATTTTTACGCAAATGGACACGTAAATGTCAGCAGCTTTGACAGCCGCGGGGTTACGTATTTTGCGGGAACCTCTGGAGGTCCCTGCAATTGCATATTTCTTTTAGAGAAATTTAGACCTGTTTCTTTCTGGAAACAAAAGAAAAAAAAAATTTGACATTTGGTGGGCAGCTCTCGTAAGAAAGAAGAAGGAAAAAAAAAAAAAAAAAAAAAAAAAAAAACAGGGATGGATTTTTATGCACCGTGCTGTGTGACCCCTCGGCCCGTATAATCGCATTCCTAGAGCAGGTTGAGACTGTGTCCTTTCTGTTTTGTGATGTATACGGGTGTGCTGTGTGACTGGGAAGTGCCGTATAATCGCAAACTGGCTCACATATAATTTGTGATTGTACGTGCTAATGTGAGTATGCCCGAAGTTGTATCACCTTTGTCCTCCGGGACATCCGTTAAAATTGGAGCGATACACAGAAGATTAGCATGGCCTCTGCATGACACGCATAACGCTAAGTTTTATATCAGCTTCTACGGTGCAGTAAATCTCAGTATCCCAGTGGGACTGTACACTAAGTTACTAACTGTGTTTGCTGTTTCCTTCCTTGGTTTGGGCCTTGGGGGACTTGATCCCGTGACCTGTAATTTGTACGTTCGGTTTGTTAGCTTTGAGCCCGACTGGGCTCGATCCTTAGACCCGTAGCTAGCAATCTCTAATTGGCAGTCTTAGACCCTAAGGCTTTGCTGTTTTGTCGTTTTCTGCAGTTTGCTGAAGTCAACCCGGGACTCGATCCCATGACCTGTAGTGTGTTTGGGGTGATCGACTGCTTTTGAGCCTTACTGGGCTTGAACCTTGGACCTGCTGCTAGTAGTCTCTACTTCGTAGTCTTAGGCCTTTCAGCCTTGTTGTTTTGTCCTTCTCTGCCCTTGTGGAAACTGGTAGGCCCGTAGGTCTTTCTTTTGTGTGCCCTAGCCTTAGGGCCCCTTAGTCTAGGTTTCCATCTAGATGCACGTAGGTAGATCTTGACTGTTTGGCCGTAGATGTTTGCTTGCTGTTTGGACGGTCAGATAGGTCTGTAGGTGGCTGCTGTGTCGTAGGTCTAGGGAAGTCGGGTAGAAGTACGCAGAGGCCGACGAGTTTGGGGTTCTTCGGGTTCTTTTCCTTGCTTCCGTTTTCACGGTCTTGGTGGAGGTCGCGTTGCTTCCCTGCTGCGCTGTTGTCGGCATGTACGCAGGGCATCTTCTCCACCTGCTGCTGGTGGCCATAGCTGGGGCCGTCCAGCTGCATTGGCGACAGCGCTGGGCTCGGCGCTCAAGTGCTGATGAGCGCTTCGTCATATTTGTGTGCTTGTTGGGGTCTGGTCAGCTGCCACCAAAGCTGCACTTTCCACGGTTCTTCTTCGACGTGGCAGCAGATCTTCATCTTCATCGAGTTGCTGTTCTTCTTCATCATCCTGGGAGCTGCGCTCACCTGCTGAGTGGACACTTCATCTGCAGCGGGCTTCTTGAGTGGTGCAGAGAGGAGCGTTGGATTTAGGAGGGTGTGTGACGATTGGCAGGCTCGATAGGTTGGGTGCTTGCAAGCACCATAGCGAGAGCTTGAGGGAAGAGGGAGGAAGAAGAAGACTCCCGGATACTTCGATGAAACTTCTATGTAATTGGTCCGTGGGTGTTGATAACGTGGTTGGGATCCTTGGAAATTCGTGCTGTTGATTGACTTGGGGAGAGACGGTAATTAGAATTGATTTTCATTTCAATTCTGTTTCCAGTATTTGTGTGCTTCTGCCGTGTATTCTTATCATCCGGTGTACTTGTCATTGCACCTGTGTATGGGAACGTCTGGATGCCACGTTGGATCTCGTTTCAATCAGGCACATAACAATGGCATCTAATCGAGTGTGGCTGTGTGTGTTTGAAGTCGAAACCATAGCTCTGCAATCCAAGTGCAGCTTCAGAAATTCAGAGGTGTGAACATTGACACTCTCAATTTGAGCCTTGCGAGCTACACACTCTCAATTTGAGTGCAAGGAATATGAGCGAGAGCGATAGGCAGAAAACCAAATTACAATGTCATGCTGTAGACCAGAATCTGATAGTCGAGTACCAAGCAGAAAGCACAATGCACTGAGATACCATCCAAAAAAGAGCAATACAATGAACTCAAAAATGTCAATGTCGACACTTTCTCGCCACACCGACATAGTATCCAATGTCACTCACCTTGTTCGGCGCTCTGCGCTCAGCCTATCCTACTCACCACCTACTCTAGCCTATAGACTACGTTCATACAACAGGAGTCACTTTCAAACTGAAGACCAATGTATGTGACAACATCGCCAAACGCAGACCTGCCAGCATACACCAGGTACGTGCCTCTTCTCCCCTCATTGCCCCCTGACTCCCCGCAGCATGCGCCTCCCCTTCCCGAAAGACCACCATCGCCATAACCGGCATGCGCCCCAGCAGCCCAGCTATGGCCGCTGTGCGCCTGCTGCCACCGCAGCACCGCTCTGCCCTCTTGCGCCCGTGAGCGCCAGCCGGCGCTAGCGCAGCCTGTTTGGTCTACAGAGTAGCAGCGCGGCCGCATCGCCTGCCTAGGCCAGAATGTTTTCTGGCTGAGCGCTCACTTTCCTTTATGGAAAGTGAGCCCTGCCTTCTGGCTGGGCTGGGCCTCACGTGTGTGTGCCCAATAGCTTCACATTGGGCCAAAGTGTCTGTGCCCAGGCCCATGCAGACAGTTGCCTGGACCCGCAGCATCGAGGCTGCCCAACTGTGTGACGTGGCTGCTGTCGCACGCTGCATTCTCATTGGCCTACGGAGGCCGAGCCACGTCGCTCTCAACGTTTTCATTGGCCGAGAGCCTTTGGCCATCTCACTGCTGGAGTGAGCCCAGAGGCTCCGCATGTTGTGCTCACACAGGCGGGGCCCTGTAACCAACTGGCGCATGGCAACTCTCT